TTAGCTGAATAAGCCAAACTACCCGTGCCAATGTACATTCGATCTCTTCACACTTCACCCACCCACAGAAAACCCAACATCCATTAGAACTTACAATCATTGTAAAAAATGTATTTTATAGATCGTGTAGTAAAAAATAAATGAAAATCCATACCTTGCAGATTAATCTATAAGACCGTGCCTTGCAGTTAATGAGTTAAGTGTTTACCACAGATATTTATTAGCTATGTGTTTACATATTTTTTTTATCAACACTCAATACTATTTATTATCATTAAATATATTTTTTTTATTTACTGCGCCTTAATCCTTATCATTTTTTGTTTGAAAACATTAACGCTCAAGTAGTCACTATAGTCGAATTGCACGAAACACAGTATTCATTTTATTATTCAGTGTTGAAGAAAATCTCAATGATGGTGTAATATTAGGCACTTATATATACTTATTATATTCATGCAAATAATAATTCCAAATCGCTATAGGTTTTAAGAAAAATCAGGCAGATGTAAATGTGTACAATATCGACAAAAGAATTATCTGCAAGAGTATCATTTAATATACATTTAAAACCATGCCGATTGTGAATGAAAACAATTTGGAGGTAATTTTAGCTACATTATTTTTAATTATTTTATCTGTTTTTTAACAAGTCGTTTAACTTTTAACTGTTTTATAGTTAGAAAAAGTATCGTCAAATTCAGTGATCATCATACACCCAGGATCTCTGTATCTACAAATTGGTCGTGCAAGTGATGTTACTCCATTCAAATATGTTCACGGTTTGGCCAGGGTTAATTTACTTTCAGAGATGAGAAATAGAAGGGACCAAATATTACCAAATTTTCCATGTAGAGTATGTTAATACATATTTCCATTTACTAATAAAATCAAAACTTACATGCTTAAAAATTGAAGTGATATAACCTACCTTTTGTTATAGAGCTCTGACACACTAAGTGCCATGGAAGACAGTAGACTGCAAGCCTCTCATATGCTACAGTCAAGCTTGCAGTCAAATGGTGACAGACGGTATGCGACACCGCCTCAACAAATAGCTGCTTATAACCGAAATTCTGTAGCAAAATACAAGGATAATGTACCACATGCACACACTAATTCATCTTTAGGTAGTGTTGTGTATGGGGAAGAAGTCAGTATTTTCATAATCAATTTATTAAAATAGCCACAGATATATAATAAATTCCATCTACATTTCAGATTTTCAATATAGCTCCTGAACTGGACTATAATGTTTTTTTTCCAATACTGAACGGAGAATTAAACATAAATGGCCAAATTGGAGGTTCACTATCAGCTGTTTTAGCAGATCTGGAAACCATTTGGACGCATTGTATAAACAAATTACTAAATATTAAGACTACAGAATTTCATGTAAGATGAAATAATTAAAAATGTTACTTCTTGCTTTAGTTTGTTGTTAAATTCAAACAAAAAGTTCTATATTATCTATAATTCTATAGTTATAACTTTATACTGTAATAGTTAAAAATAGGTAAATCTTTTATTTAAATAATTAATTAATCAGATTTTCAATCTATTATCTATATAAATTCAAATATTACTATAGTCTAGTCTCATTGCATTAAATTATAATTTTTCGAGTTCTGTAGAATGGCATAATTACTGTGTCTGTCATTATTGATCATGTGTATGTATTTTAGTTTAATATAATTAGATATTCATAGGCAAAAGACGGATTATAGCAATTAGGTACAACATACATTTAATACTATTACATAACAACTAATAAGAAGTTAAAGATTTAATACTACTTCATAGTTACCAAATAATAAATAAACTTGTTGAGTTGTAACAATATTTTTAGCCTTAACTCTTGAGATATGATATTTAATATTATTTGTCAGCCAGTGTTTATTAATTATTATGTTTATGTTTGATGTGCTTAACATTATATTATGTGTACAAATTCAAAGAACACTTTTAGATAAATTAAAAACAAATTTGATTGAAAATTTAATATTAACTTAATCATTAGTAATATGCTATTAAAGGCTCATACATTTCTTATAAGAATTAAGTTTGATTTTTAAAAGATTCCAAAAATAAAAACAATTTAGATTCAATTTTATCAATTTAAATATCTTAATCAAAATGTGATATCTACTAAGTGTTTTTGTATTGCATTCAAATACGTGAATTATAGAAAGCAATTATCCAAACTATCGTTAACTTTTAAATATTTGATGTTTATAATCTAAATTACATTTTTATATTTTAGAACTACAAAGTGATTCTAATTATACCCGACATATTCAATAGAGTTCATGTTAGAGAAATGATGTCAATGATATTATTGAGCATGAAGTTTAAAGCATGTCTTCTTATACAAGTAATGTAGAAAAACTTTATATTTCTTTTTATCTAGGCCAGTGGTTTTCAACCGATGTGCCTCAAGCATTCTCTAAGTGTGCCGAGAGCTTTTGAAAGTATTTTTTTATTCTAACTATACTTAATTAAAATCTAAACTAATAAATTTAAAAATATACAAAACAAACTACAATTTTGTTTACCTAATTTGGTGTGGTAAATTAAATAACACATGGCTAAGACATGTGCTTTGAAAATATTGTGAAGATCAGTATCCTGTAAAAAAGGTAGAAAACAACTGGTCTAAGGTACTACTAAATTAGTATTTTTCATTAATACAATATGTTTGTATTATAACTTTAATTTAGGACCACGTCGCGGCAACTTATGGTGCAGGTTTGGGTTATGCATGTGTAGTAGATGTTGGTCACAGGAAAACATCGGTAAGCTGTGTAGAAGATGGTATATCTCAAATAAACACACGGATTAGATTACGCTATGGTGGAGGTAAATTTTTAATTGCATTTTTTTATAAGTATAAAGTAAAATTAAGCATGTTACGTTATACAAATCTCAAGCATAAAATTTGTTAAATTTGAAGAATAATTATATTACTTTATGTAATATTTTATTTTATATAAATCTTAAAAAAAGGTTAAAATATGTGTCCAATGTGTAGAATTTCACTTTTAAATTTCTTAAATTTTAATATTAGTTGATGTTATTTTCAAGGGAATATTACTCAAACATTTCATTGGTTGCTTAAAAAATGTAGTTTTCCTTATCACGAATGCAATCCCATGACTAATTATTATGACTCCATACTACTAAATCAATTAAAAGAAGAGTTTTGTCATTTAAATTTGGATAGATGTGGTGCTGTGCAAAGAACAGTAACTGTAATGAAACCAACTAAAAAACAAGTGCAGTACACAATACAGGTAATATCTAAAATAAGTAAAGCTGAAGATTTTGAATTAATATAGGCTTTCAATTTGTGTTACACTTAGGTAGGTGATGAAGCAATGATAGCAGTCTTAGGTATGTTCAATCCAATGTTGTTAGGTATCACTGATAACAACCATTATGTAATTCAAGAAACTTCAAAGTCACTACCTGAGGATCCTTACGATGAAGAGTTTTTAAGAGAAACCAGTGTAATTATCCAAAAAACATTTTATGTTTATTATTTATGTCCTAAGATTGTTCAACTATTTTTTTTTTAGAGACGTGGCACTGGTCGTGAAATGGAAACTGAAACACAAATCGAAAACAGTATTGTGCACAACACAGAAGAAGAAATATGTGTTGATCAAATTGAAACTGCAGGAAATTATTTTGACATTGAAACAGGGAGACCACAAAGTCTTGATAAAGTCATTGTACAAAGTATTGAACGGTTAAGTATGTTTGTTGTTAACAATTTATGGAATAAAAATATACATCTGTGAAATTGAATTTATACTTAGATTCGGATGAAATTAAACGAAAAATGTATAGCAGCATATTAGTGGTAGGCGGCGGACTAAAATTTGACGGGGCGTGTGCTTGGTTAAAAAGCAAAATATCATTAAATGCACAACAGGTTTATTACGGAGGTTTGTTATGTACCAAACAAATTGTATATTCAATTTTTAATGAACAATTAATAATTTATTAAGATTCATTATTATAGGGCATATTGAAATTATAAGCTCACCAAAAGATTTGGACCCGCAAATCGTCACATGGAAGGGTGCCTCCATACTTTCTGGTTTAGAATCATCTAATGAACTTTGGATAAGTGGTAAAGAATGGTCTTCGTGGAGTATTAGGATTTTAAAAGAAAGAGCAATGTTTACTTGGTGATCACTGATCAGTCAATGTTGATTTTTTGAAATTGTAAACATGGATTACAAACTTTATTAATTTTTTTGTTCAAATTCCAAAATATTTTATGAAAATAATTGTTCTAGTCATACACAAATGATGATTGTCATTACTAGTGATCATGTTGATTTTAAATTATTGTACTTTCCAAGTTTGAAAAATGTATTATATATAAGATTTATGTTTAAATGTATTATTTTGTATAAGTGATTAGTGTACATTATTTTCTTGTATTATTTATGAAACAAATTTGTTTTTTATTTACAAGTGGTGATAAATTAATCACACATTTTTCTGGGATGCTATTCACTTTAAGTATTTGAAAAGTATGTCTCCAATAAAAGTCTATCCTTGTATGTTTATTTATTTTATCACTTAGAACATTTAACTGAAATGTATTTCCAATTTAACTTTAAGATTTAAAATAATAAATAATACTCATAATTCAACTTTTAATTGATTATAATTTGTATTGGAAAATACTAAAGGATACACAATAAAATTAAATATAATTTGTACAATAATTTCATTTATATAATTAAAATAACTGTTTATTTATAGTTATTTACACAGATTTAGTATTAAAACAAACAACTTAAATTATAACATTGCAAAAAATAATGACAATGATTGTTTACTTAAATAATTTTATAAAAAAAATCTACCTTAATAACATTTCATAGAAAGAAATAAATGATTAATAAAAACCAAATGACAAATTGGGATATTGACAATTCATAAAAAAAGTGATACTTGTAAAATAAAACAACACCGTTACAGTTAATACAAAATATTTGATATTTATTCGTAAACATACAGCTTAATATTGATTACAACAATAATTAAATATTAAGGATGGTGGAAAAATATTAGAATTATATTATTTAATATTTATCAGTTGATAATATTAGTTATTATCAATTATCTTTCATGTTTAGTTAAATGTGTTGTTGTATTTGTTTTTAATACTTGAAACTAACCAACCTTCCACTGTCCTTAATAAGAAAATTGGTCACACTTAATGCTTTAGACAATTAAAGTTGATAATTAATCAAAATCAAAAACACTTCTTACCTTATGCCTAATTTGAAGGTTTGCATGTAAAATTGTACATGCGAGATCACAGCTTCTAAAAAATCAACATAGATTAATAGCAGTTGTACAGGATTTATGTACAAAGTATCATAAATGAACATTATCAAACTTAGATTTTGTTTTTCTCGAGCAGATTAAGAATAAATAAAAAGCATTCATAATTTTTGTTTTGTATACCAACCTTTTAATTAATAAGATCATTTACACCACGGATATGCAGGCACACAACCGTCTTTCTACGGTAACAACATGCACACTGACACATATTTAGATGGGACGGTTTCTTGGAATCGCTGAAATTTTTCAAAATAACCATTATCTAATAATGAGAAAATAATTTTTTGCTAGTATACATTTTAGAAGACAACTGTTTAAATAATATGTTAAGAGGACGTCACACCTGCATGTGTTGTCTCCGTCTTACAAATGTACAACGTAGCAAAAACTGTTTTGCACAGGACAACTTAATTTTCTGTGTTTGTAGTAGTGGCTCCAAAATTTCTGAACATATAGAGATAAAAATGATTGGATAGTGTAATTAAAAAAACAAGCACGCTGTTGCACAGATAATGTTCTTCTTCACGAGTTGTGAAAATTTGGTAGTTCTACAACAAATATAGTGCGAAAAAAGTTGTCCTGCGCAAAGCAGTTTTTGCTATGTTGTACATTTGTAAGACGGAGACAACACATGCAGGTGTGACGTCCTCTTAATATCTTATTTATCAACACTGATAAGATAAATTAAACAATAGTCTCCCAAAATTGTGTATTTTAAATTTTAAAAATATTCACTAGATAAATCTTAAAAACATGACCAATTTTCTGAGTTTAAATATATTATCTTATACTTATTGACTAAATAAAAACTGAATTGTTAATAACTATTTTACAAATAAATGGTTTTCTAAAATTCAAGTGTATTTAATTAAAGCAATTCAAATTGTTAAAAAAAAAAATAGATAATATAACTACACCTATACCATTTATAGACAGAAACAAGAAAGGCATATGCAACATACAAATTAAAAATTAAGAATTACTGAATTATATCAAGGCAAAAAATAACGAACTAAAATCATAATAAATAGGGTCAAAAACCTACAGAAATAATTTTTATATCAATGATAGGTACATCAAAATAAAAAACACTTGAATCAAATATTTAAAATAAACATTGTAGGATGAATATTTTTTTAAATTAAATAATTAAATAAAATGCTTTTAAGCAAATTAATTTAAACTACAATTTAACAGTACAGAAATATTATTTTCAGTTATATTTTGAATAACAAAATTTCAAATTTAAGAATCATGAGGATTATCGTAAAATCGGGTTGAGCATTCATCGCAAAACTCAACAGATATTCTTCTATTAGATACATGTAAGCATACACCTACCTCAGCTCTATCACGGCCCATACTTTCGTGGAATGCCCAGCCATTATTTTCTCGAGACGCAGTTGAAGGTTGCGCCATGCGTTCGAGTTCACTATCTTCTATGAAATCAAAATAACCATCAAACAGACTGTAGTTCGAGGTAATAGGAAAGTGGTCGGTACTTGGGCGAGAGTTTAACTCATTTAAAGTCTTGTTGATATTACTACTTTGTGGGATGATACTCCCCCAGCGTATGCTGCGCAACACATTGCCGAGTTGTTGGCTGTTGGCTATCATGCTGCGCAAATAGGCCACCTGTCGGCTGCTGCTCTCACATCTTCTCTCGCCTTCCTTCAACTGATGTCTCATGTTCCTCATATCAGTTTTGAGTTGCAACATCTTTCTCTCCAGGTTCTTGACGTACTGTTTCTGTTTCATGCGGTTTATGCGAGCGGCCACAGCGTTCTTACTGTTGCTGGTCGGCAAACGGCGTGGACGGCTTCTGTTGCCACGCTGCTTGTGATCGGAATCCGAATCAGAGAACTCGCACTTGTCGCTAGACGATGAGCATGATAGTGACATGATGTATCACTCACCCGTGCCCAGTCGCTTAATAATAAGTAATAACGGACAGTTGTGTGGATGTGCTTTCAGAAGATTATCGTCAATGGCATTTCGTATATTAATTTGAAGTGTTCTTACAGCAGCTGTCGGGTCGATTTCGAAACGATCGTAGACCGTAGAAGTAATGGAGACTAGAAAAACGCAATCGATAATAAACGGCAGTGGCTGAGCAGTGAGCGGCACGTCGTGGTGTAACGTAATAAAACCGACGTATAAACAATTTAACAATTAAAGTACCCCGAATAATAAATTCCAAATGGTCAAACACAAAATTATCAAAATATACCTAATGAATAATATTTTCACTAACGTAGTAACGCACTAAAGCGTACCAATAAGTAATAACAGTGATAACAGCATGACGGAAACAAGCTTGCCGAGAAGTTTTATTAAATGGTATCACCAGTCACCAGAGTTGTAGAATGAGGTCATGAGGTATTAAATATTATACGTATTCACTATTTAGTGGATTGTTTGTCTATCTCAATTCTCAATGTAAGCCAGCTGCAAATGTTTGGGAGAAAATATAGAATAAATGCTCCTATTTTTGACATCAACAGCTGTCAGCTATTCTGATAAAAAATGAATCTAGTTGGGACTTTTGAGAGATCAAAATTGAAAATTCCTAGTAGTTTTTGGTTGATTTAAAAAAACAAACAAAAGTAGTAATTATTACGCAAAACCAATTTTTAAAAACATCGATTTAATTTTTTTAAATTTTTTTGGTATAACTCTAAAACTAATAATTGTAAACACTAAATTTTTATCAAATATTTATATTATCATTATGATTATTATATTAATTATTAAGTATTATATTAAATTTCAAACTATTCTGACTATTTTTGAGCCATGCAAAATGTTTAAAATGTTGATAATTTTATTACGGTTGGATATTTATAAATGTTTTTCCTTTCATAGTTAACATTAGACATTTTTATAAAATATTCTCCAAATTTTCTAAATTTAACAACAAAAAAAGTTTAGCGAAAAGTTACTCTGGCCATGAAATATTTTTATTAATTTTTTTTTTATTATTTAGTTTATATCAAATCGTGAATGTAAATACTAAATAGTCATCATGAAATTTATATGACAACGTAAATTTCTCTGAATCGTTCTCTACCGAAGTACAGCTTTAGTTAGTCTTTTAATCTATTCAATATTTTGTCAGGATTATTAAAACTTTATTTCTTATAGTTAAAGTTGATAGTAAATTCTCTTATTAATTATATAAGGTTAACGGACAGGTTTTGGTCTGGACGGGGCTTCAAGTAGTTGACTTTTGCGTCTTAGATTCAAGTATTTAATATACATTGCTTTTTTTTTTAATTAGATATTATTAGTAAATAAAAATAATATGTTAAACTTGATATTCGATATTGCAAATTCTGATAAAGTATTTAAGTCAACAATATAAATAACACTGTATAATTTCTGGATTTTAAATACTTTGATAAACCTTTGCTCGTTAAACTTTAATAGGTACTAGATGGTACTATAGTAGGTACTAATAAAATAATATAATAATCCTGAAATCTATTAATTGTTATGTTTCCACGGTTATAAAATACTATTATTTTATATCTGTGTATTTAACAATTTGTTTCTATGATATTCGGAAAAAAAGGCCCTGTACCAACTAAATACCTACATAACACTTTTTTATTAAAGTATACATTTCATCATTTTTAATTTTTAAACAATACATTATTATTTATCCATAGCAGTAAAGTCATAAATCTATAATCATATATGTGATATATAATTTGTATATACTTTTATATCATAATAATATTTAATAAAATAATAAACCCAATATTTTAAACTATTTAAATATAAACAATAAACATACATTTTAAATAGAAGAGATTAAAGTATATAGTAATAAAAGTAATTGACATTTGACTTTATCTTTTATTTGATTAAAAAAAATGAAAATGGAAGTTGCTGCAGACCAAACAAAATTGGTGTTAAGTAATGTAGGAGATTATGGAAGTACAAAACTTGGTGCAAAACAAAGCCGTTGAAAGCCGCTTGAAAAACTTATGCATACAAATTAAAAATAATGATATAAGTATATTCGATTTTCTAATGGCAGTTAGTCACAACATTAGTAATTAATGCTACTAAATCATTTTTAAATTTTTTTAACTTTAAACATTTTTTTAATTATGTACAAATGGCAGAAGACTATTATTGTAGATTGCAACTATACTTGTATATTTTATAATAAGAGTAATGCATGTTAAGGAATGTTATTTATGGAATGATTTTTAACTGTGATATAATTAGTTATTGTTTAATGTCATATACTAATATAATTTTTTTTTAAATAACTACCTTTTAATCAAATAAATATACCACCTAATACCTATAATAAATTATATGTATTATAATATAATAAAATAATTTAATAATTAATAAAATAAATGTAATGATTATATTATGATTGTATTGTATGTAATCATTGTAATTATGCAAATCAAAAAAAAAAGAATCATGTATTTAGTACGGGGCTTTTTTTTCCTAGATTCATTTATATTTTAAACCGTGACCTTATTCTTTTTTTGCTCTGGGAGAGAGGTTAATTTTCTATAACTCTATGAATTTTTTTTATTAACTGCCTAAACACAAAGTAATAACTAATAACTAATAAGTAACATTATTATTTATTACTCTATAGTCTTTAACATAATTATAAGTTTTAATGTTTTATACATTTTTAGTTTATTATTTCGTTTAATATAATATGTTTAGCCACAAATCACAGTTATTTTGTGTTTGTTATGCGTCGGCACTGTGTAAACATCGGTCGAATGTAAACAGACGTAATCATCGTGCTGGACGTGCTGGTAACTGCTATGGCCTTGTTGCTTATTGTTCGTGTATCCTGTGACTTGTGCTAGCCGCTAGGGACCAAGGAGTTAGGAGTAGTGACTATTAAATAGTGGTATTGTCGAAAACCGATTTATTTTTGTTGACCGAGTATTAATTATTATCCAGTGACTAATGTCTTACAATAAGTGTACAATTTTTAATTTAATAGTTCTGTAATATTCGTATCCAATATCTATATTCAATTTAAAGACCAAGTCATGTCTACCTTTAGCAAAGGTGAGTTCTCGCTATGCGACTACGCTTATTTCAATGCGTAAAGTATATTAATTTATAAATCTAAAATGACATCGTAATCAATTGTGTTACGTCTGTCAAAAATGTTAGAAAACTTATAGGTAGCAAAACGACTTTCAGTTACCAATATCTTTTTAAATAATTATTATTTATTATAGTTCCAAGTTTACGATAGATCATTTCCAAAAATTACTCAACTAGGTCTAATTCTATTTAATTTCATTTTGTTTAAAAATTGAGTAAAAGCATAGGTAGGTATCTACACTATGTTATAATAACAAATAACCTAACCTATTTGATATTTTGGTTAACTCAATTATCTCATTGTGACTACCACAAGTTAACACATTATATCATTTTAAGATAGTTTTGTAATCTCTAGCTCAGGTATTGTTTTTCCCCACTGTTTTAAACTCTAATTCGATTAATATGAGGTTATAATTACAACAAATATTTTTCAAATGCTTTGGCTTGTTGTTTAGCTATTTGAGAGATATATTTTTGACAAAATAAGTTAAATATTTGTATTATATTTGCCCATCCCTTGCTACTCATAAAACAATTGCCCCAAGTTGTGTCACTTCATAACTGTATAATACGTCTATTGGTATTACTTCTAGTCTGATTTCCATGAAAAATGAATCCTGATAAAACTCTGAGGAAAATTCTAAAAACTATTATATCTTACAATCCAACCGATCATTATTTGGAGTAATCATTAATATTTCAAAAAATAAATTTAAATAGAATAATTTTATTATACTTCTATTTAATATTACTTCTATATAATTTTTATTACGTGAAACATCGTCATCCAATTTCAATGTTTGAAAATGGTATTTTTTTCAAAACAGAAATGATACAACTCTAAATTTATTTCATTATAATATAGATACAATTGTTTATTTCACAGTTACAAAATTAATGTATGTATCTACTTAAATATATTTTTAGACACTTAATAATTTTTATTTGGTTATATTTATTATTAAATGTGCAATTGATTAAAGTTCAGATTATATCTATTCATTTTTTAAAAATTGTATTTATCATTTTTAGATTGGTGGATAAAGTTTTTCTTAGATGCTGGTATTCCTTCATTTGCATCATCAAAATATGCCACTATTTTCTATGAAAATAGAATTCAGTCTAATATGTTAATGGATTTAGACAAAGATATTCTCAAGGAAATGGGTATAACAGTTGTTGGTGATATAATTGCAATCCTTAAACATGCAAAAGATGTATATAGAGAGGTAACTATCATTTTTTGATTGTTATTTGTAATGTGAAGAAATAATTAATTGTATATATTTATTTAAAGGGATCCTATGATAGTTATAATTCTAATGTAGTGGAAAGTTTAATAACTAAGAAAAATGAAGTCAACGAAACATTACCTCAAAAAAAAAAAATAGGTTGGTTTATTTTTTTAGTAAAATAAAACACTTTTAAAAATGTCTCAACCTTATTAATTATCTTATTTATTATTTTCCTAGTTACCAATAAAGTAAAAAAAATAGTTACTAAGAAGGTAAAAGTCTCTAGTGAAAGTGAAGAGGACGAAGAAGCACTTTTGAAAATAGTGAAGAAAAAGATTCCTTCACAATTATCAAACAATTCAATTAAAGTTGTCAATAGAAAAGTAGTTCCTAAGGCTAAAACTACAATAAAAGTTAAACCAGTTATTGTAGAAAGTGATGATGACTCCCCTCCACCATCTGAATTGAAAACTAAGAGCTCGGTTTTTGATCGTTTGGGTGTAGGTGATGTAAGCAGCACAACTCCTAACTTCGATAGTAATAATTCACCTACAGATACAAGAAAAGTAACTGATTTCGTTATAAAATTATATTTCAAACTAAATAACAATTTAATATGTTCTAACAGTCATCTGTGTTTAAACGTCTTGGAATCAAACAAGCCGGCGAACCTGCTGCTAATGCGACATTCAAACGTACAATTAAAGGATCAAGTGATGTATATTATGGACCAAGTATTCCAACTGAAGAAACTAGTGCTTTCTCAAAAAGAATAAAACTAGAAGAAACAAGTATGAATTAGTTATTTATTAAGACAGTTTTTTTAAGAAATTATTGTAAACAATAATGTCTACAATCTCTTTAAGTTAGAAAATGTAGCCTGTAGTAACTAATTTTTGTCAGACCTCAGTCTGGTAACACCTGTTTATCATCCCCACCCAGTCAATTACCTGTATACCTGCCTTGTTGTATTACCATGCCTCTACTCATAAGTTGATTTCTGGCCATGCTTTTTTAATTTGAACAGAGTATAC